AATGATGGATATTTTTCAATCCAACTGTCATTCTTTGCTATAAAAACAAAACCCACCTTCAGTTACTGGTCACTCAAATGATTATAGAATCATCTTCATCCTCACATTGCACATTGTGTACAGTAGTGCGGCGGTTGCTTATAGAGGAGCCAAATCTCATAAATAAATAGTTGCTAAACCCGACTAGCTCTTTAGGGGTAGTAAAAAAAACTACTTTTCGTACTTCCGGGAGTAAAGTAACAACTTCACTCCATTATGACAAGTACTGAAGTGTCACTTTTTGTCCCGCCGGGATTAAATTTAGACGAAAATCCCGGAAGGATGTAATTACTAACAAGGCAATTTCAGTAGGTTGTTCCACATTTTGTATGCGGCACTACTTCATAAACGCGTCGTACTGCTGCTCATACAGTTTTTTGGATTTCGGTGGTATCAATTCTTTACCTACTTTTTATCAATATCAAATGCACCTCTGTCACCCACCACCAAAATTATGACACTAGCAATGACAGTTTCCAAATTATTTTTGTTACCATGGCATAGGGATTGTCATACCAACGCAACGTTCCTATGGTAACTTGTTAAGCAGCGATTTTTTGAAAGAACGCGTTCTCTAACTCCATACAGATTTAAGTGTTTCAGTTTCGGAAGTACGAAAAATATCGTATATACCTTGCGACTGAAGTAGTGGTCTTAATCCCTCAGGTAAATTACTTTACCTTCGGGATTAAAAGTACTACTTCAGTCCCGCGGTATATAATGTACTATTATTCCACTGCCATTTTTGTTATATCCACTTGACGCCCAAAAGTTGTCGGTTACGTTACAAATAGTTCTTTAATTATTTTTGAATCAGGCCAAAATCGTTTTTATTATTGCAACGGGTTCGCATATAAAGGGGGGTGGACCCTCCCTTCTTTGGAATAAAATTTTAACTTTCTAAGCTTGTTCGTAAAGTTTCGAATATATTGGCGTAAATCAAAAAATGAAATAGTTCCAATTTTCAATTCCCATAACAAGTCTTCCCATTTACGATTTTCACTAGTAAATTCATCCCAACTAGATCAATTGTTGTGGCCACGACCTTTGTGAATTACCCCTAACTTAATGCAAAACCTGTCAACAATATACGGCACAATTTTTTATACACAAATTACCATGAGTTTCGAGATTTACAAACTAACTAAATGAAAACTGAATTTTTCTATCAAATTCAATTCAAATGGGTCCATAAATGGTAAAAATACCTAACGGCTTCAAATTTGGTTGATATCTTTCAGAAAACATAAATAATTTGCGATGATCTTTCTTAAAGATAGGCAACGTTTAATTTTACATAAAAATAAAATAACGGTACCTCATATAAAACTGGCCTTCTGCAGGTGACGATGATAAAAAAAAATAGGCCACGACGCTGATTCGGAAAATTAAAGAAAATAAAACTGTACATTGGAACTTCCGTTCAGCGAAATTCATTGGTAAATTTTTCGGTGAAGCAAATGTTTTCTGCGCGTAGATTTTTGACCGGTTAGTCCCTGTGTTTATCCTTTTTTTTTGTTATTGTTGCATACGCGCCGAAGCAACTGGCCCCTTTGTAGTGAACAAAACACCGGCCCGTTTAATTGATTAGTCCTTGTTCCTTGAAATACGTTCGAATTAATTCATTCTTGATGTTACACACAATTCCGTGAAACCCGCGTAGTTAAACTGGATAAAGAAAGAAACTTCAATGAATAATTTTTTGAGTTTTACCCAATCAAATTTTTTATTCGGTCAGTCAACTGCATCTGGCAATGTGCCCATGCAAATGGCTGACTTTGGGGCCCAACCCCTACGATGTAGCAGTATGCGCCTTAGATCCATGTTCACTTATAGAGAAATATATGGACTGGTGCAGAACCACACTCTCCATTATCATGCTCTGAAATTATATCCACAGGCTAACATATTTTTCATGAATGGAAACTATCAGAACCGTCATGGACTCTCTTACGCGTGTTATTCTGAGCTAATCTTCAAAGTGTCAATACTTACTACAGTCCCTTGAAATTGTATGGGTCAAAGGCACACTGGTACAAAGTACTACACCAAGAAAATTAACCTCAAAATCATTTCTGAACAAACTACAAAAGTTTTCCGTGCTTCGAAGTCTGACAAAAGTAAAACTATTCGATTAAATAAAATCAAATCTGAGTATGTTGCCAATTGAACCTTTCGTAGCCCGCATTTAAAATTACATTTCTAATTTCTGGTGCTGTTAAAAACCCTTTTATGGCATCCTGTTTTCCGAAATGCAAACACATTCTCGTGGACCATTACACAAGCTGATGAATAAATAGGTTGACATTTTTACATTAAATAGAGAATTAAATTGTAATGATACTGCTCAAGCACACGATCATAAAAAATTAACGATTGAGTGTCAGAAAGCGCAAGTATAAAAGTGAAAAGCCGTGGCATCGTTTGTGATTCGAACGAACGTTGTTACAATGAGGTTCATTATTTTTCTACTGTACATTTTTATAGTGAAATCTCATTCGCAGAGGGTTTGTATTTTTTTATTAATGTGTTCTCAGCTGAAAATATTTAACATCTTTTCTTTAGATTCCAGAAGACATTCAAGTGGCTTGGAAAATCATCACGAAACCTTATCACAATGCGTGTGTGATGGAATCACACATCGATCCGTATCTAGCGGAAAACTGGGTGCGTGATTTTCACATGCCAGACACGCCAGCGTTCGGGTGCTTTATAAAGTGTCTTTATCTAAATCTGAATTTTATGAAGCCAGATGGAGCCTTCGATGTACACGAAATGGTAGATGTAGCTCATTATATGACCCATGATTTGGCGCGAATATGTTTGAAGGACATAGACGTTGAGAAGAATCACTGCAAAAGATCATATAAGTTGGGCACATGCATCGTGAATTCATTAGTCGTATAGCTAGATGGTGAACACGTAAAGTTATTACAATTACAATCTTTAATATTTGTTTATATGGCTCGGGCAAACGTCAGATAAGCCACAATTATGTCCACACATAGGTATGACTTATTTTTGGTTACTTATTAACACATACTTCGACCATTTAAACCTGGACTGTGTAACGAGTGGTTTGATTTCGCGCCAAATTTCATTAAAAATTTCGAAATTCCTTGTCATGATAGTGCAGGTCACCCTGTATATTTCATTATTTGTTCCGGTTAGAAATTTTGTGTTTGGGCATTTCGGTTTGCTCAAGACTATGGTCCGATAGATTTAATTTCGCTCAGATTTAATTTCGTCGTGGGAAGAGTGCAAAGCTGATTGACGTCATCATGAGTAATGCGAGTTTTTTGTCGTTCGTTTATCAACTTTGGCGCCGTCTAGACCGAGAATAGGAGCGGATATAGCACCGAGCCATCAAGAGATAAGGAGTTTTCCACGTCATCAGCAGAAAACCGTGAGATCAGTTTTAGTCAGCAGTTCTTTGAGGTTGACAACGAAGTTAGAGGGGGTTAAGTCTTCTTTATCTGAACCAATGGGAGAATTTCTAGCGGGAGCCATTTTTGTTTTATGGTAATTTGGGTGTGGTTTTTTCATTTCAATTCTGAAGAAGGGGAGCGTTTTAGAAGAGACTCGCGTTTAGTACGTCGAGGGGTCAACACGTACTTTGAGTGATCGCGTTTTAGAAAAGACTCGCGGTTGGTACGTCGAGCGGTCAACACGTACTTTGAGCGATCGTTTTGGCGGTGTGAACCACCGGTTTATTTCGGTTGCTCCCAGTTGCGTGCTTTTTGCACCCGTTCCGAAGTGTTATTTTCTTTTCGCGTTGATTTTTTGGCGAAGAAGAACCAAGTTTCAATCAGGTGATATTTGGGCGAACCCTTGAGCTTCACCCCAGTTTACTTTGGATGCAGTGAATCGCGTTAGGATACGTTGTGATTTCTCGAGGATATATAAATCAAAGTGCTGCCCTAGTCCTCAAGACGCAGAATTTCGGGATCCGCCCAGGTGGAATTTCCTACTAGTGCCGTAAGGTCATTTGTCGAAGGAGCGCTGCGTTTCGGAGAGATATTTGCCCCAAGAAGAGCTGGTGAAATAATACTTTGAACCATCGCGGTTTACCGTCGGATAGTGATCATAAAAGTTTGTGTTCTGCCGTACCGCTAACTCAAAAATCCGTCTCCCGCAGGCGGTCAAAGTTAATAAACTAATAAAATAAAATTAAATACACGTGCTGGGTAGAAACTTTGGCAACTAGCCGTCTCCCACTCGCCACGCGAAGGATTTCCGGGACTAAGTTTCCGTTCAAACACTAAACTTTGCTTTCGTTCCGAGGAAGGATAGGCACCGTGGATTTTTGTTTCCGTGTGTTAAATTCAAGCCACCCCCTAGGAAGTCACAGAGACCTAAGTGTCAGGTTTCATCACATCCACCCTGTACCAGAGGAAAGAGCAGTTCACAAGATCGGCTCTACAAATGTTGTAAAGGTTAGTCTAATTAAATTTGTAACATTCTGTAAAATTCCACTTTTTGGTAATTAAGCTATAGTAAAAAAATTTTTGATTTGATTGTTTATTAAAGTCCAATGAACGATTACCAAAGAGTAGGATAAATTTTTGTGTTTATTTAAATAAGTCCCAGCCCATGCTGGATTAAAAACCGATTACCTGTTGTTGCAATTTTCAAACTGTAGAGGATGGCCACCCCTTGAGTAAATTAGTCTCACCTGTTAGGATTTTTTATTTAGTTTAGTTGTCATTGTTAAGCTAGTGTTTTTACAAGTAGAAGAGAAGAACTGCTAGATCCCTGTAATTTGTTTGTATCTCTAATATCATTTCAATATATTATCTATTTGGTTTCAATGTGTCTTTAACGAAGAACGAGGGGAAGGAAAGAGAGGAGTAGGAGTTGAGGAAGGAGACTGTTAGGCGGCAGGTTAAGGTTTGTTACGCAGTTTCAAAAGAGTTAAAAGCCCACCGATTTGAGTTAGCCGGAGCATTTATTTTTATCGATTGAGCAGCCTGAGAAGAAGACGGTTTGCCTTGCCGGGCGGAACCGATGGTAATTTTCAAGTCCAGAAGGAACCCCCGTAGCAACTGCTAGCGTCGTATAATATTTAATATAAAAATTGAAGCCAACATCTGCAGCGCCATCACTGGGTATGACTAAAATGAGAACTAAATCCGAGGCGCTAAATATGACATTTGGAAGAACAAGTATATCCGCACAACATATTTATACGATAACTGTTTAACTTTATACTTGATGAATTAATTTATATAATAAATAAATTTGAAGTAGCTATAATTTTTGAATAATGATACCAATAGATCGTGGAATAAGCTCTTATTTAACAAATGTACATGTTTATTGCAGCACTACCAAAAAACCAAACCTTCTTAGTATCTTCCTGATTGTTTTTATTTTAAAAACAATAAATTTTGATGAAGCGCCATTTTAGCTGGGATAACAGTCGTGAGCGAAGGAGTAAACAGAATAAGATACACATGCAGGATAATATTTCACATCGATCTCAATATAAAAATAAAAGATGGGGGAGGGGCTTCTCGTGCCCTTACTGTATTGTACATGACTTTGAATTCTTAAAAATTTTTCAATTGCTGTATACAGGGTGGTGTTTTTAAGTAGACCATTAGAAGTATCTCATTAACGGTTTGGAATTTTGATTCGAAACTCATTACGTTTTATGAATAATCGATCAAAAGGAATCATTTAAAAATATTTTCAAACGGAAAATAAACTCTCCTCGAAAATATTCACCCTCGTATCACCTAAAAAAAACCAGCTTCGAAAGCTTCTATGGATACGATAGAAAACTCGATCACGAAGGCTCTTCTGTATGAGAAATCACTCTCACTCACTAAGAAACTTGCTCCAAGTAAAGTTTAATGTTCATCCCATGCCCTCCCGACACCGCGTTGGTACATGATTACTGTTGTTCCGTATAACGAGCCTATTATTTTGAAACAAACACGCCCCATAGCAGAAGTACCCAAAAGTGTCAAGTTTAGGGTTCATGCTCACCTCGGGGATAAGGGGCCGTGCTTGTTAATCCTTCTGCGATCGAACCGAGGATTAAACAGTTCGGACAGTAAAGGCATTTTTTAAAATTTTGAGTATGAATGTATACGTTCTTGCACGGTCTTTAAGTTTTTGTGACTTACAAGGACTCCCTCGTACAATTATTTCCTGATGTGTTATTTTAGCAAAACATCTAACTTCATGAGACGACCGGGTACCGAATAATTTACTACATTGTCAGAAGCAAAAGACAAAAAACTTCTTTATGAAATCTATTGTTCTGTCTGTCTGTGTTCCGATAATTGTTAGTATGATAACTCAAGAACGGAAATAGTATATTGAAAGACAAGTGTTACAATGCGACCTATTGTAATACGACTATCTTGTGGCACGAGTGGCGACGCGAAGCGTAGCCACGAGTGTCCGCAAGATAGGAGTATTACAATAAAGCATTGTAACGCGCGTTTTTCATACTATTTTTTCTATTTCGGTGCTTAAATTTAATTAAAAAAATCATTATCAGAAACTATAGGGAACATTAGAACTAACATGTTTTATGTTGGGAACACTTTTTATGCCGTTAAGTTTTAGGTTGGCAGCGTAGTATAGTAAGACTGACATTTTGAAGTTCAAACATGGAAGTACCCAACGAAGTACCTACTTCTACTAACTAGTAACTGCCAACTTAAGAGATGAGTTACCAAAAAAAACGACTATAATCACTGTCTTTGTACAACTGTTTTCGGCCGAAAACAGTTGTACAAAATCATCATTGTGACACCGAAATAGAAAAAATACTATAAGATACACGTGTATAATTGGTCTTTAAAGCACTTGCACCTCGTTGCGCGTGCTTTAAAGACTTGATTATACACTTGTATCTTAATATACTATTATATTGATTAAACTTTCAGTAGCATACATCATACCTTGACTGACTAACACTTCAGTCTATTCACTACTATCATTGAATAGCGAAATCACTCAACGCTACTATCAATCCCATTCCAAAGACACTTTCAGACTGCCCGGAGGATTTAAAATACCAACTCGAGCTGATCGGGTGTACATTTTGCATATAAGATGGGAAGATATTGAATACTTGCTGTTGTGGTTTTGTTTTTATTAGTTAACCGTAGCATGATGAAAAACCACACAGCAGTGATACCTATCTTTTGTAGTTCGCGCGCTGAATAGCGATTGAATACAATTTTACTCAAAAAGTATCCATTAGGCTCAATTAACCCAGAATTGACAGCATACATTAAAATCGACCCCAAATTCACAAACTTTCCACAGTAGAATGACACTTTTATATCACCAATTAATAAGCATCCTAGAAGCATTTACTACTATTCCATTCGATGTAATAATGTACATGTCATGTCATTACTTAAGAAAGTAAATAATTTAGTTACAGAAGGTTCAACTAAATAATGGATTGACTGGAAATGGAGACAAGTTTGTTATTGTTAACGTAAGCTTGATAAATCGAAAATCCGCACTTCACTGTTCCTGTGGCGTTTTCAAGCCGACACTTTACCTAGTTTTTGTTAAAATGGGCATGAGTTATGTATAAGGAATAATTCGCACTGATATATTTCTGTTATATTCGAAGATCATTTGGCAAAAAAACCACTCCGTGACGTACTGTTTTTGACACGAGACAAATTTCCAAATTAAACTTTCAGATTGCCAAAAGACTTAGACATATACTAGCGAACGAGGCTTCTCGTACCAAACAACACGTCGCCAAATAATTAACTCGTGTCTTGTAGACAACGAAAGTTTCCTGCTTTAATTAATAATTTTAATCAGTAGCTACTTCAGGTAAGTCGGTTTTTTTTGCAAAAATTAGGACGAACAGTAAATCGGTCGTTCTGAAAGACGAATTTCATTCGAAACCAAATTATTGTTCTTACATTACTACTGTATATAGGCACTAAATAAACCTGTTAGGGAAATGTTGACGTTTCCTAATCATTCTACTATAATAGGAATAACTTCATTGTAAATAAACTGCATGTTGATTTAGTTGACGGTCAGGTAAATAACTTTAGTCTTTGTCTCTCGGTGATAAAATCCCCATCTCTTCCAGGGTTTACGAGCGTTTTGACTGAAGGGTGTGAAGTACCCAATTGTTTCAAAACTAGGTGCAGAATAAATGATAGTAATATAATATTCAATTGGGATCATTATTTTATTTTATACCATACCTACACGGTGTCCATTTTTCGAGTGCCACTATGGGGATCTCACTTATCTTGAGAGATAGAAAGTTGGTTAAATGGGGGCAAAGTTGCCAATTTTCGTGCCGAATAAGAATCTGAAAAGAAATTTGAAATATCTTCAAATAGTTTTGAAGATATCGTAAAAAAACGAAAATTTCTGATTTTCGTTTTTAATTTTTTTCTGATAAACTAATCGTAGTAGACATTTCTAATTAACACATTATTCGGACACTTTTTAATGGAGATTTCAAATATGGCACTGTTTTTAATAACTTTCAAGATGTCGGAGAAACACGTGGCAACTTTAGTTTTTCTTATGGGCGCCATTTTGAATTTTCACATTTTGAGATTACGTTTTTTTTTCTCTTTACAACGATATATCACGCATGGTGGTGCAGTATCACATTTTTCCTAAAAATGCAATTTTTATTTTTTTGAAAAGTGTGCTTTGGAAAAAGAAAACGTTCATTTGTTGTGAACAAATGTTTGAACAGTTTGATCCATCTGTCTGGTTGCAGCGTTCTCAGAGAAGTAGAAATTCGATTTTCATCTGAACAGAATTGAACTTTCGTTTTGCAAGAATTATAATTAAAATTAGAACAAAATACACAACAACATGTGTTCAAATTGCCCACCTCCTAATTCAGAGCACAGTGCCACTCTCTTCCTAAGATTTGCTATGGCTCTTGACACATCCCTTCTTCTAATCTTGTGCCTCATTGTTCCCCACAAAAAATAGTCCAAGGGAGACAGGTCAGGTGACCGCACCGGCCAGCGTACGTCGCCATTATTAGCAATAACATGATTGGGGAACAATTCCTATAAGCATTCCCCAACCCACCTAGCATTATGGGGCGGTGCGCCATCTTGCTGGAACCATATTGAGTTCAAACGATGAAGAGAAACGTTATTGTCAATAAAATCGGTTAGAAGTGTCCTCAGGAAATGGAGGTACCGCATTTAGTCTCTTAAGGACCAATTATTGTATCGCCCAATAAACCGATCCATAGGTACGTTAACGCTAAAACGTATTTGTGATCGTCGTTCTTGAAATTGATGAGAATTTTCAATTTTCCAGTAATGTTCATTGTCAAAATTTCAAAATGTTTACCGCTTGCAAAATTGCCTGCTCCTATTCATTGGGTCTATCACCATATTACTGTCTACATCTTTTAAAAGAACCATATTCGCTCAAGTTTTTATGCAGCAAACAAAAATACCTCAAACTAGATTGTTGTCGCTCCTGATAACGCTGGAAGTATGTTGCAGCAGCCATGTGGGCATTTCGATGAAAATGTAGTAAATTCAGATCATATCTATTTGATCTGCACTTGAAAATTGAATTGAAATAAGTCAACCTTTTGTTCACAACAAAAGAAAGTTTTCTTTTTCCAAAGCACTCTTCTCAAATAATTAAAAATTGTATTTTTAGGAAAAATCTGATACTGAACCACCATGTGTGATATATCGTTGTAAAGAGAAAAAAAGACGTAATCTCAAAATGTGAAAATTCAAAATGGCGCCCATAAGAAAAACTAAAGTTGCCACGTGTTTCTCCGTCATCTTGAAAGTCATTAAAAACAGGATGCCATATTTGAAATCTCAATTAAAAAATGTACCAATAATGTGTTAATTAGAAATGTCTACTACGATTAGTTTATCATAAAAAAATTAAAAACGAAAATCAGAAATTTTCGTTTTTTTGCGATAACTTCAAAACTATTGAAGATATTTCAAACTTCTTTTCAGATTCTTATTCGGCATGAAAATTTGCAACTTTGCCCCCATTTAACCAACTTTCTATCTCTCAAGATAAGTGAGATCCCCATAGTGGCACTCGAAAAATGGACACCGTGTAGGTATATTAAAGTGACATTTTAATAGGTTTGAATGAGTAGGCTAAGCCGTTCTTTAACCGTAAGGATAGATATAGTGACCACTTTAAACATTAGAGTGGATAAAGTGAAACAGACGATTGTGCATTCTAATGACGTCTGTCATTCTTATTTCAAATGCACGTTATAAAAGGACGTTCCGAACATATGACAATTCTGTCTTTATAGCGATGGCAGAATCTAAGCTTACTATTTTTGACGTCTCTAAATTAAATTCAGAATTGTCAGAAGCTTTAAAATGGCTCCTGCTATAAAACAAAGTTTTGTATTATACACGACGATAAGGGAAAATCAACCATCTCGTGAAAGTTAATTAACATCTTTCACTCAATGGTTAACATATCCCTTTATCGTCTTGTATAATAAATAACTATTTTTTCTCGCCAAAGGATTAACTATACGAGTACAAATTTTCATTAACACAGTTCTTGGACACGAAAAGAAAAAACTGACTTGAAAAATCCTCGAAAAATTCTATCCGGGTCGCACAATGGGTTCGAATAAACACACAATTAATTGACTGATAATGAAAAAATTTTATTCCGAAACCCATGAAAAAACGGTTACACAAAATTACTGAAAGAAAGGCAAACTTGCAAAGCTTGTTTCAACAAATTCCTCCGCACGCCGGCGTTCTACAAAAAAAAGAACAAAATTTTAAAATCACTTACAGTTTTTTTAACGATACTAATAATCTGGTCGTTCAACGGTTTACGATCAAAAAAGGTGCACGTAACACACAAACGGTAACAGCTTCTGAGCTTCACTTTTCTTTAGGACACAAATCAATCAAATAGGACGGAATGCCTGAATAAAGGTAGCGTAAAGAAACGTACGCCTTCCAACCGTCGCGAACCAGCTAGCTTGTAGCGTCCTGTTTGCAATATTAAACGAAACACCACTTTCATAATAAAATATAGATAAAACACCAATCATAATTAGCTTTTGTTGTGTATTCAGTTAGTTTGCAAGCAGATTGGTGGGTTAAGTAAGCTATGGATAGTGACAGTGTAAAATGCGCCCTCGCGACAGAATTATGTACGGGAACCCTCTGTAAATTTCCAATAAAAAACATACTATTTGGCAACGAGGCTGGAAAAAAAATGTCGCAGCACTTGTGTCTGTGTTTAATGAACATTAGGGCAAAGAAGCTCCCTTGTTAACCCAGCTTCGACAGAATGCGTCCCCATTTACACTGAACTGCAGCGCACATCTTTGAACACCTGCTCCCGAATCAGCGGTAATAACATGTGTTTTAACTAAATCTCGTCCAATAACAAAAAATCTTATCGCAAACGACTAGATGTGCCTACATTTTAACACGCAATTTCACGTTTTGCACTTAAATGAACAAATCTAAATAAACAATACGCAAATACAAAAAATACTACGAAAGGTCAACGAGCTGCGACAACTTTCTAATGCTGAGATTTCGTGCTTCACTCATGGAACAACCAAACAAAGCGAAAATCCTATTATCCTATATAAACAACAGTTGAATGCCACATCTTGGAGAAAATTAACTTTTAAGGTGTGTTCAAAGAATTCACAGTATGGAACTGAGAAATTTCAGCAATAGGATTTTTTGACTCATAGATGAGGACATAATTGACAAGGTCCCAGATTTTATTTGTGTAAAAAGGGTAGAGTCTCTCTCGAATGTTAAGCCGTCCTTGTCCATAGATTGTAGCTTTTAAACAAAGATTGTAGTAATGCGCCACAAAGTACCTACAACTGTTAGTTTTACGCGTTTCGCGTTCTTCCCAAAAGCTATTCAGATCTTTCTTTTATGTCTAAGAATATATGCACCAATTCCGGTACCAATCGGTTCAATCGTTTGGCCGAAAATGAGAATACAAACAGATATACCGGCAGACGGACTGACAGACCGAAATAATCGAGATTTTGTTTGATTCGAATTCCTGGTGCTTCAAAACGTGTATTTCCGTCGAAATAGTGGGGTTTACCCCAATGCATACCTCCCTTACTAACGGGCGGATGGTAAAAAAACGTATACTTTATTTGCCGCCTTTATTTGTGTAAATCTACGAATAACAAAGAAATAAAAAATTAGATCCGCCATCCTTTTTCCTCCCAGTAGAGGTCAAAGGCTTGGCTTTGATCACTAGACTGCTTTCTGAAGCAGATGAATACATAAACATTTATTTTTCAGGAAAGACTGTTACTCTCCGTACTTCCACGACATGTTGCCATGGAAATGAAAGCCGACATCGCCGGCCAACCTAAAGAAGCACAATTCCACAAAATCTACATTCAAAGGCACGATAACGTAAGCATTCTATTCGCCGATATATGCGGATTTACGACACTATCCGATCAGTGTACGGCCGAAGAATTGGTACGAATTCTGAATGAACTCTTCGCTCGGTAAGATTTAAATTGACCCGTTTAAACTTTTCGATTACTTTTCGTTCGCCAGCTTTGATCGTTTGGCGTTCGAGCACCACTGCTTGCGAATAAAATTGTTGGGCGATTGTTATTACTGCGTGTCCGGTTTGCCGGAAGCGAGACCGGACCACGCGCAGTGTACGGTTGAAATGGGCTTGGACATGATTGACGCAATTGCGTAAGTGATTTACTTAAAAAATTCAAGGTAGTGATCCCCCTTTATAGATTGGTTAGGGAGGTAATGGCCGTCAACGTGAATATGCGGGTGGGAATCCATACCGGGCGAGTACACTGCGGCGTTTTAGGATTGCGAAAGTGGCAGTTTGATGTTTGGTCGAACGACGTCACTTTAGCAAACTACATGGAGAGTGGAGGAATACCTGGGTTGGATTCGTGAGATAACCAATTGGGGATGTGGTAATTTTAGGGTTTGCAGGAGGATTCATATAACCAAAGAGACTCTTTTATGCCTAAATGGGGATTACGAGGTAGAGGCTGGAAATGGTGGGGACCGAAATACATATTTGAAGGACCATAATATTGACACCTACCTTATAGTTCCTAAGGACTCGTACAGAGCAGTAAGTAGTTGCGCCCAAGTACTTATATGTCATGTTATGGCGTGCTTCCAGACCAAGAGGCCTCACCAGGCATTCACAATGAATGGAGACATATCAAAAGAAATGCGAGTGATGGGGCACGGATCTCAGCATGGGAAACATGGCTCAAAGTAGGTCTCTTCTTTCCTGTAAGACATATCGATTATTGTAGTATTTTTTAAGTATTACCTCCAGGTTGGGTTTTGGTGATACAGTGGACGAGAAAAACCCAGAAGACGAAGTGAACGAATACTTAATGAAGGCGATTGATGCAAGAAGTATAGATCGATTACGAACAGAGCACTGCAGGACTTTCCTGTTAAACTTTCGAGATGCACAAAAGGAAGCAAAGGTATGTGAGTAACTAATGTCTTTTGAAATCCATATTTTATTACAAAACGCTAGAAGCAATCAAAAAATTAATGTAGATTTATGGTTTGTAATGACTAGGTATATAAAATTTAAGGAAAAGATATATCACTCACCTTCCTCCGTTAATCATTATTTTTTATGGGGTTGAAAGGATAGATGGGTAAAGGGAAAGGAAATGGAAAGAGCATGGTTAATTATTTACACCGATCGCGGATATCGATAAGAGCATTGGCCAAAGAAATTTGTATCAGCCCACCTCATGCGCACCAGGTTTTGCGACAAATGTTAATTCTCTCGCTAAAATTGAAGGCCACGAAATCTTATCAAAGTTTCCCAAATAAATTGAAATAAATGCATTCTCAATCTATTTAAGTAAAAGAAAAAATAATTAAAGGTAACTTCAACAAGTTATTGTACTCGGAGAGTGGCTAATGGAGATTTTCAATTGTATCGCCATTAAATAATATGCAGGTTTCAGAAGTTATTCCTAATGGCAAGAATTACTATTGTCGGCACGTCTCATATATTCTTAGAACGCATTTTGTGTATACCGTTTCATATTGCGAAAATAAATATGGGGAAATATTTTCAGTTTTCTGCATTCAGATGTCATATTGTAATAAAACGTGGCTGAAATAGACCTACACTTTATTCGCATTTTAAGCCTATGTAGTATGTTTTAAAAATTCCTTGCGCGATACATTCCGTAAAGGCTTTTTTATTATACCTGAATCACAATCTCCGTTTTAAACACTCAAATGCGTGCGAAAAAAGGCCTTTAAAACACACGTGATTTTAAGTTGCTAAGTAACGATACTTGAAGTTTTTGAAACTGTCATCTGGGTGAAACAAAAATACTCTTAGGTCGCTTTCTGTAAATGCAGAACATTTCTTTGGCTTATACCTACCCTTTGGTTGAAGCTTTAACAAACGTGCGTAATTTAGGGTATGCTTCCAAATCTGATCCACTTTTTAATCGCAGCATTGTCTGAAGTTTTGAATGAATGCACCAAAAGATAGAAGATTTAAATACCTTTGACATTTCCTTCATATATGCCAGCATTATCGCATGCATTTAAGACTTCCTATTCTTACTGGCTTTATTGGCATTTGGTTTTCACACCTACCAACGTTTGTTTAGATTTTACAACAAGCGATTTAATGGACGGTGTATTACCTTTTTCCACGAAAATCGTTTTATTCGCAAAGACGATGATTTTTATAAGCAAACGTCAAGTGACACTTCGATGGCAATCGTGAAATTACGAACACCCAGCCCACTTAATTAGACATGTATTCGAGTATAACGTCAATATCATTGTATTTCCTATTTCTAAATTATACTGCAGGTATAATAAAAAATACTATAAGATACACGTGTATAATTGATCTTTAAAGCACTTGCAACGGGGCCTGATATCTAAGCGTGTCCTACCTGTTTGGGTTCCTCTGTCATGGAGGTCGTAAACAATCAAGTAATGGTAACTGAGAATATTAACAACTCACAGAATATGGACAACCGTACCTTTGCATCTGTAGCAGGTATACAATCGGAGCCGAAATATAATTTTCCCGAGAGATCCCAAGGTATCATCTTTCTTGCCATTGAAGGAGTATCGCTATTTGATTACATTGTTGGAGTAGGTACCATAATAGGTCCAAAAAATGTTACGTTTGCATCTCGCATCTCGGGTGGGCGCATATGCATCTTCCTTGCGTCAAAATCAATGGTAGATATCTTTATAAGAGAAAATAAAGGTATACAAGTTAAAGATAGCTTCATAGCAGCACGTAAGCTGGTATCTCCAGCAACTAAAATCATTCTTTCTAACGTTTCTCCAGTAATTCCAAATGACATTTTGTATGAGGAACTTAAACGATTAGAGTTAAAGCCGGTCTCTCCAATTACTTTAGTGAGTGTAGGCTCTCCCGATCCTAATTACAAACATGTCCAAAGCTTCCGTAGGCAAGTGTATATTGATTTAGAAGTAGGTTCGTCAATACCCCCTACGACGTTGCTAGCTTATGATAAAACGGTTTTCAGAATTTTTTTGTCGAATGACGATCTAGTTTGCTTTGTTTGTAAATCTAAAGGTCATAAAGCGTCTAAGTGCCCTTCAAACTGCAGCTCGAATAATAAAGAGTCAAATGACAATACCATGGAACAGTTAGTCACTCCAGTTCGACAAAGTCGCCAATCATTAGTAGAGATGGACTCGGAAGAGCCAATTAGGACATCCGAGGAATTGCAAGGTAGTGAATCAATGGTACAGATGGACTCGGTAGAGTTCAATAGGACATCCGATGAGTTGAGACCTAAACGGGCACTTGCGTCATCCTCTGCGGAGACTACAGCGTCAGGTGGCACATTTAAAAAACCCGCGAAAAAAGCAAAGCGTTCCGATTCAAAGGAGTCCCTATCGATAGAAAAGGATTCCACGTTGTTTACGGAATTTAAAAATGTTTTTCAATCGAAACAAACGGTTATAGATTATGATAGTTTTTGCAATTTTCTTATGCGTGCAAAAGGTCAAAGCAATCCCTTTCCAATAGCTAGTGAATTCTGTGAGGATAAGCAACAATTTGTTGAGTTAATGATTGAGTGTCGAAAAGCGGTCAAAACCAATCGACTCAAAGCACGCTTAAAACGCCTGATTACTGGATTCATTAAGCTCCTTCCAAGCTTCAATACGCCCACGGATTACTCAGAAAACAGTTCAATCGCTTCACAAGATTCCTTCTTATCGGACCAAGAGCTAGAATCGCTGTGCGATCCATCATCCTCTGAAACTGCGTAAACGTTTTATTTTGCTTATTTGTCTTTACTATTTTAATTTTATTTTACATATTACATTTTACATAATGCATAATAACAATAATTATAACAATTTAAACCTTTTGCAATGGAATATAAGATCTGTTGCTGCCAATAAACCGAATTTAGAATATATGTTAGCAGAGTGTAACATCCATATAGCCCTTTTAACGGAAACCTGGTACAAAAGTAACCACATAGATTTTTTTAAAAATTACACATTAGTAAGACACGATCGTACGGATGGTTACGGTGGCCCGTGGCGCCGCTATACTTGTACATAGAAATCTTCAATACACTCCGTTGAATATTAAATCTGATAATGCTGAAATTAGTGTGTGTGGGGTCAAGTTGCTAGATCTTGATCTGAATGTAATGTGTTTATATAGGCCGCAGGGTTACGCGAGTAACATAACAGAAGGCGAGTATTTGCACATGTTAGGGCAATTAGGGAAGAGGTACATGGTGGGTGGTGATATGAACGCACACAATAGGGCCTTTGGTTCATCTAAAAACGATAACGCGGGAAATATTCTATTAAAAGTAATAGATGGGACTAATAGCGTGTTTTTGAATGACGGATCAGTTACGCGCCTCGGGCGCCCAAACGAAGCGAGATCTGCAATTGATATTACATTTGCATCGCCAGGGATTGCTACTCATATCACTTGGAAGGTAATGGATGATACATATGGGTCAGACCACTTTCCCATTCGCATGAACTTAAATTTCAATTTACAACTCCAGTTCACCTATTACCCTACAACTCGGTGGAAAATAGATGATAAGAAAAGTCTAGAATTTTGTAATTACGTGGATCGAAGTCTAAACGCTAAAGAGGTACCCAAGTCCGCAGCAGAAATAATTGACTGTGTTGTGGATTCAGTGCAAAAGGGATGCGACAGTAATTTCGTATTAAGAAAACCTGTGTTAAAGAAATCCAGACCTCCACCCCCATGGTGGGACAATCAATGTTCTCATGTGGTACACTGCCGGAAACTTGCGGTAAAGAATTACAAGTTAAATCCAACCTTGGATAATTTCATTACTTGTCAAGAGACTATTGCGCACTCTAAAAGATTTTTGAAATACAAAAAACGCGACAGTTTCCAAAATCTATGTAATAACTTAAACACATCTACGTCCTCAAAGAAATTATGGAATATCGTGAGAAAATTTAAAAGATGTCCTACCTCTCACCACGTATCGGAATCATATATTGAAGAGTTCGCTGACAATTTAGCCCCGGCGTACGTGCAATCAGAAAAAAACCAGGAAACGTCAAACGTAAGTGATCCTTTTTTACAACAACCATTTTCAATTGAAGAACTCATCAAGGCAGTCAAATCAGCTAAGAATACAGCACCAGGTTTTGATAATATTACATATCAGCTATTAAAGTGGCTGCCCACCGTGGCGAAGGAATTATTGGTAACTGCATTTAATAGAGTGTACCTGTTTGGAGATAGCGTGCCCACCTTTAAAAAAATCATTGTTGTCCCAATAATTAAGCCCAATAAAAACCCAAACGATGCAAAATCATATAGGCCTATATCACTTTTGTCGTGTATATTTAAAACATTAGAGCGAATGGTCAAGAATAGGATTGAATGGTGGTTGGAAAGGAAGAAAAAGCTACAGTCATTTCAATTTGGATTCAAGCGAGGTTTAGGCACCGCTGATGCTTTAACAAAACTAGTTTCCGACATACAAATAAGTTATTCCAAAAAAGAAACAGTAGGAGCGGTTTTTATCGATTTCAAGGATGCTTACGGATGTGTGAAATTAGACATTTTGCAGAAGAAACTCATTAAATTGGAATTCCCGAACCAACTAGCCCAAAACCTGATCGGTTTGTACTCTTATCGAGAGATTTATATAAGAAGTGGCTAAGGTCAATTTATAGGCCCTAGATGTGTTTTTGAGGGGCTTCCACAGGGATCTATCAATAATTTGTATACGCACGACTTCTTGACTGTGCAGGATGATAGCATCAGTGTAATTCAATACGCTGATGATTTTATTATTTACACGTCACATAAGAATGTATCTGTGGTCAAGGAGCGTTTAAGTAAAGCCATTCGGAAAGTTAAGCAATGGATGTTCAGCAATGGTTTGGATATGTGTATTGAAAAATCTGCAGTAGTATTCTTTTCACGGAAAAGGCGATATAATTT